GCAAATATTTATTTTTTAGATTGCTTGTTTTATTTTGAGATGTCTTCTTCAGGATCTAGTCGAAGTGGAGATCCGGGTTGGAAATATGGATATAACTTGAATCCAAATGACAAAACTTGCATTAGATGCAATTTTTGTGAAAAAGATACGAAAGGGGGCATAAACCGGTTTAAGAAACATCTTGCCGGTATTAAAGGGGATGTTGCCCATTGTAAAAGTGTTCCTGAAGCTATTCTAGAGGAGATTAAGCAATATATGAGTTCTGTAAAACAAAAACGGGAACAAAATCCTTGTAGTTGAATAGATCTATTTTTGCTACTTTTAGAAGAAGTGATCCGGGTTGTAAGTATGGTTATAACCCAAAACCAAACGATAAAAATTGTATAAGGTGTAATTTTTGTGAAAGCGATACCAATGGGGGTATTAACCGATTTAAGAAACACCTTGCTGATATTGAAGAGAACGTTGCTTCTTATAAAAAGGTTCTTGAAGCTATTCGGGATGAGATTAGATAGCTTCTGAATTTAAAAGAACCAGAAAATGATGAAAATGAACTTTGTTCTATGGAAATATCTTCTCCAGGTTCTTCTAGAAGTGGTGATCTGGGTTGGAAGTATGGTTATAACCCGAATCCAAATGACAAAAATCGTATTAGATGTAATTATTGTGGAAAGGATACTAATGGGGGCATTTACTGGTTTAAAAACACCTTGCCGGTGTTAAGGTGGATGTTGCCCCGTGCAAAAATGTTCCTGAGGCTACCAGGGGGGAAATTATACAATAATTGAGTTCAGGAAAGTATAAAATGATAGACAAGGGTTGAGAAGCCAAGACTCCTAGGGCCTGATCTGCACTTACTAGGAAGAGGGAGGTAGAAGAAAAGGAGGAAGACGCATATTCAGAAGAAACAGAAGAGGACGAGTGTTATATTGAAGAGGGAGGTGGCTGTGATGATGATGGCCTCGATTCTCATACTAGTAAGAGGGAGGTAGAAGAACAGGAGGAAGAGGTAGATTCAGAAGAAACAGAAGAGGACGAGCGTTATATTGAAGAGGGAGGTGGCTCTGATGATGATTGCCTTGATTTTGATGCATATGATGAAGCTTACCCTATTCCTTTTGATGATGTTGATGATTACTGAAGACTCTTGGTGTTGAGTGTTGACTATTGTGTTGAGTCTTGAGTGTTGACTATTGTGTCCTAGACTGTATATTTTTGAATTTCTGTATATTTTCTTTTTCTTATTTTTAGTTTCTAGTTCTACTTTCTAGTTTCTAGTTCTACTATATAACTTTTGTGTGTACAGTCTACAGTGTATCAGACACAGTCTATTATCAAACACAATATTAGGAGGAAGGTCAATTAGTAGATACTCATAGTCCACCAGGGAAATTGTCTACAAAGGATACAAGTATTATCTCTTGTATTTTTTAAATGTGATTTTGATATCATTATTGTAGTTATCTGCACTATGGTGTTGTTTATGTTGTAGTCTTATTGGAACATAATGTTCTTTACCAATTATGTTTTAAAAAGGCAGGTAATCCTAACACTATTAGAAACATGATCTGAGCCTATTCTAGCTTCATAAGAAACATGATATGAGCCTGTCCTATGGTACTCTCATTAATGCTCCTTTACGATAGTTATACCTGCCATTGTGACCTACAAAAGGCATTAGATTATAAATGTTGAGTTCTTAAACATTTGCATTTGAAAGTTGATTCTTGTTACAAATACTTCAGCCACTGCATTCATTGAATTATTGTTTGGAGCACCTATAAACCATGGGAAATAATGTTCTCCAATCGTATTTCCAAATAACAGAAATCATAATCCATGAATATTTGAGGCAAGATTCCACATTCAGCAAATCACAATTTGTCCACCTATGAATATCAATGCTTGATCTTGTGGAAAATTTGGATCGAGATTCTATGATGGTGGATGTCAGATTCCATGTTGATTGAATCACAGTTTCATACACCTACGAACTGAGGTACTTTATGTTGTAGATTTTGGATTCAAATGAAGGAAAAAATCAACATGGGATTCATTATATGTGGAATGGGGAATCATCAAATGTGTAATCTGTATTCAATAAATGTTGGACTCGAGATTTGAAAAAGCTGGAACCAAAATTCCATAAATCTTGGGATCGAGATTTGGAAAAAGTTGGAATCAGGTTTCCTAAAATAAAGAATCGAGATTCCTGAATTCAAGGAAACGGGTTCTGTCAAGACTCTTTGTTAGAATCCCAAATCAGGATTATGAAGCGGAATCGTGAGCTTGGTAGACAGACACTAGTAACTGTGTGATACATTGAATTCCAAACACTATAATTCAAACTTGATTTTGAAATGTTAAATTTCTTAATCTTGGCAGAATGCAACTTGCCTACTTAACATCTCAAATGAACAACTGTTTTCTGAAGTAGATGAGAAACAACTTAATCTCAATATTCAGATGGCCATCCTTTGTAAGTTTGAAGCATTACTCCCATGTTGTTCATTATTCGCCTACAAATTGTAAGCAATCATTATAAGTCTATATTCAAGTCGATCTTCTATATCCTATATCATCATATGAAGCTACGCAAGTCGAATCTTGAAAGAAATTATTCAATTAGAGAGATACCCAGATCTGATTTGGTCTTTAGTCCCACTGCCATTTCCTTCCCAAATGATTTTAATGTATACGTACAAAGTCAACTGTTTTGTAGATATCTTATGTTGGATGTTTTTGTCCAAGACAAGCCTCTCAGCACATTCATTAAAGTCATCCATATTTGCATCCTTGCTCTCAATACCCAGGTGAAAGCAATGGTGCCTAGCTACATGCAATGGTGCAAGCACCCTCTCCCATCTTTTATCTTTAGTCTCCTATATTGAGCCACAATTTGTGTCATCATTGTTCAACCCATAGTTAGGCAAAGCGATTTGAAATCCAAATCGATTTAGGGATTGGAAGCATGGAATTGCCAACACGCTTCCACATCGTCTTAACCCGAAATGGCTACCAGCTGGGGGATTTATGTTTTCAGAATCGATGCCATGCAAGAGAAATGATGGGGAACGAGATTTCTATTTTTAGGAATCGAGATTCGACCAAACTAGAATCAAGATCCTCACATCGATGGAATTGAAAATCCTAGCTCTTTGGAATCGAGTTCTAACCTAGTTGGAATTGACCAATATCAAATGGAGATTCCTTCATTTATGGAACCGAGAATCCGGCGTCTTTGGAATCGAGAGGGAACTGAGAGGGAAAAAATATATGTATCAATGCCATTTATTGACCGACATGCCATATGTGCACGTTTACATTATTTCCTTTAAATTATTTCTAACATCTTGGAGTTGCAACCTCTCCATTGAATCAATACAAAGCATATTTAAAGAATTAAATAGAGAACGTGGACCACTATGGTTTCTATTGGTTATTTTCGTGCCAAAAAAGATGATTACACCTTGCAGCTTGAGATTGAGTCTCTAACTCGAGTAGTTAGATGCCTTGAAAACTTCTAATCATCACTTATCAAAAAAAGCAAAAAGAAAAAAAAAGGGGAAAGAGGTAGAATTCTGGTAAACGTGGAAACCAATTTCAACAAATGTAGAAGCGAGATTCACCAATTGTGGAATCGAGAATCAATAAATATTGAAAACTGGATTCTATATAGGATGGAATCGAGATTTTACCAATCGGTATCGCGACCATCAAGAAGAGATTCAGGTAACTATGGTTCAAAGCCTCCATTATCACCCTCTTAGTTCCATTGAGTGCAACCTATGTAAAACCCATAAGGGACTCACCTTGTTGTCAACAAAACCGTAGAACTTTTGTGGTGGTAGTGGATGTGGTGGAGTGAGGTGAGGGGGGGGGGGGGGTTTGGAGAGAGAGAGAGCTCTCAGTTTGGTGTAAGAAAAATTTGTTTAGAAACATCCGATAAGGCGTGTGCAGAGGGTTTAACCTCATATATTAGTAACTCAAATTCTTAAAGATAATGAGTCATGTCGTCCCCAACCATAAAAGGCATTCAAGTACATCACAAATACCTCAAAGTCTCAAAAAAAATACCACAAAGTCTCTTTTTACCAAGTTGGTATTTTGCTTAGTTATTGGGGTGGTGTGCATTAGAAATTGCTTTTCATGGACTTTCTGAGTTGTTTCCTAAAACGTTGTCCCATATAATGTCTCTTAGAATGCCAAATTCACATTTTTCTTATTTATCTACAGGGAAGCTAACAACGACTCTTTGCGCATGATGGCCTATGGAGTTATTCTTGAGTGCAAAATTTGGAGCAAGTCTGCATCAGTTTCTTCTTTGATTAATCAACTACAAATTGTTGATCCTGCCACCACAAATATCTGGCTTGCTAGTTTGAACAGCAAGGTTCTTGTTGGTTCCTTTTCTGCATTTCCTAGTTGACTTATGATGGAAGGAGGGGGGGGCGTAAATTATTCTGGTGTGCTGATTATACCAGTTACTAGTTTCTGTTCTGACTGCAGAATCTGAAGCAAGGGCAACCTTTTATTTCTGTACAAGTTGAATTGTTACCTCAAAAATGCCCTCATGATATTTCAGTGAAGGTGATTGTTGAAGGATAGTCATTTTACATCAGTAAAGGAATTGATTGTTGAAGGATAGTCATTTTACATCAGTAAAGGAATCATTCCACTAATTCTTGGTCACCAAATTTTTTATCGAATAAATGACATGTACAAGTAAAAATATCTTTTAATGGGTCAAATCCCTTTACAAATTCTTTAAGGGGTTCAAATAATCCCATCTAACATTATCAGGGTTACTTTCTAGCTTCTCATTTCAGTCTAAAAGAACATCAAGAAGGCCTAAATAGCCCTTGTTCAGGATTGGGAACCCTGAGCAATAATGACATTTTGGTAATCTTAGCCTTACTATAGGGGATAAATTACCAAAATGCCCCTGAATGGTCAGGCGTCCCAGTGCAGAACAGTGGAACTTTAGGCATTTTTGAATTTTATATGGGGAAGTACCTGATTGAAATGGAGGTTAAAAAGTAACCTTTGCGATATAAAATGGCTTCATTTAGACTAAATGATTTTTTATAGGATTGGTCCCATAACTGATACTTTTCGTTTCAAAAAGTTTTCTTAATAATTTCTTTTGTACTTATGTTCCTATGGTTGTTGTACATGATTAGGTTGTATTGCAACCATTTGAGGCATTTTGTGATTCAAAACTCTTGCTGAGTCTCTTATATTTTCATAGTATTTTGGGGAGCTTTCAATCTCATGATCATATGGTAAGTGTTTGTTGACTTTCTATATGGTGTTCTTCTATTCTTTACCCACGTTTTTTATTTTGTTCATTTTGATTGATATCTACCTGATAGTTTCCTCTGTTGCGGTGACATCATCCCTTTTGCTTGTTGACTTTTTTGCTTGTTGAGTTTTGTACGCCTATGAGCTTCCTTGGATGGACTAGATGTTTTGAACATAAATGCTTATGTCAATAAATTTCTCTTAAAATTGCTTTGGCTAAATATTATTTCACATGAAGATTTTCAATGTTATGTAATAATGTCATACACGATTCTGAATTATTACTAAAACCAGATGAGGCTGGCCATTCCAACAAGAATCAGTTTTCTTTGTTTTGGGTGATGACTGTATGATGCCTTCACCTTGTTGTAACTGCGATTAACTATCTGGTGGGTTGTTGGACTTCCTCAAACCCTGTTTGATAAGAATAATTTCTGAATCTTCTATTTAAGGTGGCGCTTATGCTCCCGAAGTACATTCCCGCCATGTTTCTCTTCTCAAGGGAACATTTCTCTTCTTTATGGGAGTCTCTCTACTAATTAAAGGAGGAGATCATCTTTCCAGTGGACCCCGTATGGAACCTACAAAATGCAGGACAAATTAAATTTTTTGGGTTCTAGAGGAGCGGTCACATTCTCATCCTTACCAGATTCAAAAGGCAACTTGAGCATCAAAATTCTTTCTTAATCCAATTTAACAATTAAGTTCCATTGTAGCAAGCATGAGCTAAGATACATCATGGGAGTATTGAGATACCTATAATGGATTCTTATGTACGAACGTTATTCTTAGTAGAACTTCATTCATGGAAAAAATATATTACTTGGTGTACTGAAAATTTCAATTAATAGCTTTTTTCGGTAGTTCAGTGGGGATAGGGTCCCCTGCCCGTGGTAGGAATGGAACCTAGCACGTCATGTTGTTGCCACCCACCACCCCAACCACTTAGCTATGAGCCCATTTTTAATTTCAATTTTAATTAAGGCTATGATATAGAAAACTCGATTTATTTATTTTTTAAAATTTGGATTTTATGATGTGCATTTATATATAATCAACATATTTGCAATTGCTTTGTAAATAAATTTTAAAATTATTTAAAAAATATGGCCCTTGATAGAGCAGAATGGCGGACTAGGATTTCTATACCCAACCCCAAGTAGTTTGGAAAATGTTCTAATTTTTAAAATTATTTAAACATTATGGCTTTTGATAGAGCAGAATGACGGACTAGGATTCATGTAGCTGACCCCAAATAGTTGGGAAAAGGCTATAAGATGATGATGATGATTAGCAAGTGCTTTATAAATAATTTTTAAAATTTATCCTGTTTCCTAAATATTTATTGTACGTGCTCTCAGACGGAGCTTTTGGCTACCTGCTCGTTCTCCCTCTCCTAACAACTACGTTGAAAACCAACGTGGTCTGGTCTACAAGTTCCTTGACTGGTTTGATTGAACTGATGCTCGTGATTTAGTCAAGACTGATTGTTGATCTCTCTCTCCCTTTGAACTGGCAATTCTTTTTTCAATGGCTCACTTTCCACTTGAGTTTATGGTAGCTTAGATCTTCTGCATAGCTGCAAGCGACATAGGCTAGTTCACACCCTTTTCTGGCTATGCTATCATTCAGTGAAGTTGTTTCCGTGGGATATGACTGCCATCAATTTCATATTGGCATATAAACTTATTGATATAAATGTATTGCTTACATTAGAGGAAAAATGGAAGATATTCCCATGGGGTTCACTATACCAACTCAATGATGCAGCTATTGATAGTATTTCTCACTGTTGGAAAAACCGGGTGATTTAACCGCTAACGGACCGGTTAGATGCCACTGGCCGGTTCTGGTTTTGGTTTGTTTTGGTGATCGACCGGTATTAAAAAAAAATAAAAATAAAAGAAAGTATATAGATTCTAAAAACTAAGGAATTTGGTTTGTAATGTATTTTTTAATATTCTTTACATTATGGTAAAGATTAAAAATTGTTTTTGTCATTAATACTTGTTTTAATAATCCATTATTTTCATTAATTTTCAACTTCATTTGAATGTGTTTTCTTTTAATAATTCTTTATATGCTTTTCATATTTTATTAGATATTTTTTTTGACCGCCCGGGACTTGCTCGGTTAGAATGGTTGAATCGGCCAGTTTAGCGGTTAGGCCGGTTAAACCGCTTTTGGGCCCATGTCCGGTTAGCCGTTGCGGTTTGATTTTGCGAACACTGGTATTGCTAAAACTATCTCAGGATATACATGAAGTTTTTACTGGCAAGATATTAATTGCAAAGCTTATTTCTCTTGCTTGGGCATTGCTGAAAGTCATGTCTTTTCTGTTTCGTGGCTTAAGAATGTAATTTCTATTTTTGTTGGAGTCAGATATTGTATCACACTGGATGCAATTGTACTTTACATGGTATTGGGTATTAGGTCATTGTACCTAAACCTTGTATGTCTCATGCATGTAACCTATTATGCTTGGTGGAATTTATTCTTTTTGGCTGCAACCAGAATTTGTTTTCAGTTTACTGTAGTATGTCCAAGTGCTTTTTATTCAGCTATAGTAAAGTAGTTTTGGACCTTGTGGTACGTCTCGTGCTCCTTGGAGCAGATTGTTGATCTTAATATTTTTATGTTGAATTCTGTAGCTATTGATTTATGTAAAAGTTTTCATTCACCATCATGTGGACATGTTTGTTGTATTTTATCTCTTGTTTCACTTTTTATTTGTGGAATCTTATAGTTGGCCTTTTACTTTCTATTTGAAGTGCAGGTCCTTTCATCACTTGATGGATTTGAAAATGTTAAAGTCCGTTTACTGACCAAGGCTGAGTGAGTTTCCTATTTAGCAGTGAAAAGCTGTGCAACAATTGTTTTTTATTTGGACTTGATAATTCTTCGGTAGCATTTATTTGCCTATTGGTTTTTGTTCTGTTTTCTAAGGTATGTGCTATTGAATCGTGCCAAAGTGGCTTGGGATGTTAAGCTGGGCAATGCAACAGTTGCGATCCCTTGCAGTTGCTGCGCTATCAACACACATAAAATGGTGTCAACTTGGTTTTTTCTCTCTATTTTTCCTGCCCTAAATTTTTGAGGACATTTTTATTGTTCAGCTATTTTTAATAGCTTTTTCTATCTACGCTGTAACCTGGGTGGTGTGGTGCTCCCCATCTTGACCATTTGTTGGTATGGATGCTATTCATGGAAATGGCATTCATCATCCCGGTTGTTTATAGTGTGAATTATCTTAATTTTTTTCTTTGCTGAGCTAGTCCAGATTTTGGACTGCTCTTTTATACTACTATAATAAACATATGTTCAATGGGTTTAAAGACCGATTCCTTTCATTTTACCAAAAAAAAAAGTAATAGGAAGACTAGTTGCCTGTCTTCATTCTTCTCTTGATTTCTTGAAACAAGAGGCTGTGATGGCTCTTATTAACTTGTGAGGCTCTGTCCCATTCCTGACTAGATTACTCATTTACTGCACATGTGAAGCTCTTATTATATGTTCTCATTACGCCATTTCTATTTACAAGTATCCATATTTGTAGTGGAAGTCATGTTTCCTGCTAAATGCATCATAACATCTCAATGATTCACATGGTATAGGCTTCTCTCTTCTGTCTTAATGCCTGAATTACAAGTTATATGGTAAGCTATATGAATAGTGAAGTGTTTAAAATGCATAGAAACTATAAATTGAACATGGTTTATCACGAAAATAAATCAATACTGGAGTTGTATTTTACTTTTAGTTTATATCTAGATTAGTTGGATTCTGGATGGTGAATATGTGTCAATACTCTGTCTCTCAAATATATTAAGATATTCTGTGATGTCAAATTTAATAGATTGTAATGAACAAGTTGCACTAGATATTATATTTTCACATATTGCTACATTTTGTGTATCATGCTTTTAATTAGTTAAGCTAAATAGAATGTATTGTGCTGTGTACATCTTCCCCTTTTAATTTTGCTCATGTGATTGGCAAATGTGTTCTTACTATGAATTTACCAAAATTGGAGATAATTCATATCATTAAAACATTTGATTTCCTCCATAAATTAAAGGCAGTTCGAAACTAATTCCTCTTTGGAAAACAATAGTTCCTTAATTGCAATAATTACATCATAGATGCAACAAAAAAGAAAATCTTCTCAATTTATGCATTAAGGAAGTCAACGGCTTCGAAGTACTACTTTCTTTGAGAAAATATTATACTTCCAACACAAAGAAAGCAATATAAATATAAATATAGATTTATTTAAAAACAACATAATGAGGAAAGAGACAAATTCTAAGCAGTAACACAACATTAATAAAAACGCAAAAACTATAAATACTAACCTTACATGTATCAAAGTTTCACTACGTGTACAACAAAACTGAGGCAAGAATATAATTAATTCATATGTTTTGATAAAATACAATTAAAATCTAACAAAGTGCAATACTATTACAAATAATAGTATTATGATTCAGAATATCAAGTTTAAACCATTTTTATGGGTTTGAATAAAAAACATAAAATTTACCTAATATTTTTAGCTTGAAAGCCACAGATCTCTATCCTCGGTATGCAGCACAAATGAAAATTCCCAAACAACTTTTGGGATTCGACTTTGGTTCTATGAGTCCAAGGGTTTCAAATTTTTGGATTAATAGAAAATCCGAAAATAAGAATGAGAAATTCCTACTTTTTTGTTTTGGGATTTATTTGGAGGAACCATTATGTTAAGGAATTAAGAATACAATGTTGATTCTAAACTTTGATTTTCATCAAATATCGACAGCATAGATCAAAGAAATCGAGGTCTTCCAAAATCAGGCATAATATCCCCAATTTTTAGATCTTCAAAGTGCAAGAAATCCGTGTTTTTTTCTCCCTTTTTAAACAGTGTACAGTGGCGATATTGTGCATAGTCACCCTAGTACTTTAGAACTCAGACAAGTGAGCCCGAGCTCTACAGCACTAATCACCCGAGTTCTACTGCACTAATCACCCATGTAAGCCCAAACTCGGGTGAGTATTGTACTGTGCACTTTCCTATACCCAATTGGGTACAAGAGAACTCGCCTTGGCTACTACCAAGGGCATGTAACTAAACTGAGTCGAGTTAAGCTCGGCCAAGTTTTGGAATTGCGATTCAATAAAGTTCATTCAAAAGAAATCAAGTATGGATGTCAATGAAAATTATTTAACTATTTCAATACTACATTTTGCAGATATTGAGTTTTGTGGGTTTGCATTTGCAATCAATTCCTGTGGAGGAAGGCGATGAACTTACACAAAAGGGGGATCAAAACTATGACTATACACGCCTCCATTTCCATCAATTTTTTAATCAAGAAGATATCTCAACTATTCTCTACGATTTCTATGATCGCTTTCAGATTAGAATTACAGATTTTGAGGTAAATTTTGTGTGGAATCCCATGCATTTATTTTAAATAAAAAACATTTTCTGGACTCAGAACTTGAATGAAAAACATTTTCTGGATTTGGAACATGTGATTGGCTTCGTCTTTTTTTTTTTTCCATTTTGTTGATCCTTTTTTGATGACATTGATCATTGCAGGGGACCGTTGTAGGAAGTGATTCTTCTCAAGAAGTTACAATTGTTGATCGATTTAATGCTTTGATAACTGTTGGATCATGTATATTTGGGGATGAATCTGCATTGAAACAGTTAGAGGTAAGTTGAGTTTTGAGAGATTATAACTGATTCTATTGTTTTTTGTACACGCTTTTGTTGAAGTCTTCAGGTATCTTGTGTAATGTACTTTTGCCTCAGGAAACATGATATATTTTTCGTGAACTGACGATGTTTCTAACATATATAATCAAATTCTCTTAAAGGATTTAGAAAACAAAATTTGAAGTTGTTCCTGTGCTAAAAGAGTATAGGAACCTGACATTAACAAAAGAAAAAAAAAAAAGAAGAAAGTTGGTTGTAAACCAGAGAGGGTGGTTGTACTTTCGAATTCTTTACTTCTCTTTTTAAGGTGTTTTAATATTCGAAGGGATTTTGGACATGTTGACTTTTGGGGTTTTAGTTTTATGCAAATGGTTGCGTTTATTTATTTATTTTTTAACTTTTTGGGATTTAATTTTATGGGATTTAATTTTATGTTGAGGTTTATATTTTCTATTTAGCAATATATTTATTTAGATTAGGATTTAAGGTTTGATATTAGATTGAATGAATGGTTAAGATTTCGTAGGAACTTTTAGGGTTTCCCTTTGGGTGTTCTATACACTAGTTTTGACGGAGGATATGGGGACTTTGGTTTTGGAAGATTACTTTGTGTGCAAAGCTTCCCTCTAGCTAGGGTTTGAGACATTGGAAGTGAGGATCTTCAAGCTTGAAGCTCCAGATAACCGCAATCACCTTTTGGCAGTGAGTCAACGCATGAGGACTTATCTTTTTCTTCGGTTCAACTATTGTTCTCCTTTTTCCTGCAAGAGTTTGGAGGTATTTATGCAATTTTAAGTTGAGAATTTGGGGATCATTTATCTCTCGAAATTGCCAAATTCTATTACTAGTTCTTGGATATTTCTTGCTTGTACTGCTCTTAGCTTTGATTCACATGAACTGGTACCATGGAAAGTTCATTCCTTGCAGCCATTCAGTTCTCCTTTTTTTTTTTCTTCTTCTTATCAGGCACTTCATTCTTCCAATTGATGATTGCAAGATGTGCACTTGGAATCATCGCTGAAGGGGCAGGAAGGGGGTGACTCTTGAGATGTTTCAAGGGATGCAAGAAACAAATCCAACTTGTGAAGTTTGTTATGCGTGTGATGGCCTTTTATTATGAAAATTGACGTGATTGTGGCTCTTATCGTATTAGTGTGGTGGTCAATAATTTTGATCCATTTTCTGAAAGAGATAGTGGTAGCTCTAACAATGAAAGTAGGGCAGATCTGGATAGTCCTAACTGGTGGAATGAGATGGGACAATGATGGGAAGATCGCATTGTATGTTCTCTACAAAATAACAAAGACTTCATGCTCAAATTGCTGGATTTGATGAGGAAATGGAAGCTGAAGAGTTTTTAGGCTAGTTGAACAACATGGAAAGTTATTCCGATTGGAAAGATGTCCTAGAGGAGAGAAAGGATAACATTGTTAATGCTAAGTTGAGATGTATAGCTTCTATGTGATGGAAGCATTATCAATAAGATAGCGAAATTAAGGTAAAGGGAAAGGTAAGAAGATGGGAAAAATGATATACAAGATGAGGGCCCAATGTTTACCTTGAGACTTGAGAGAAAAATTTATTTTAGAATGTACAAAATCTACATCAGTGGGAGAGTACTGAGATGAGATATACTCGAGGTCTATATCGACTTACATTAAGGAGTAACTGATACTAGAGTGAAGCCCAAAGAGTTAGTTAGTATCTGAAAGGTCTACGATTGGCCATACGAGGTCAGGTGGGACTACATCAACTCCGTAGTGTAAGTGATACGTATCACTCTCCTTAAAAGTGGAAGATCTAACTTGTGGAGCACTAAGAGGATTGAATTATTGTAGTGGCAGTGCATGGTCTAACCGTGGGAACAATGCCATCCACGGGGATAGACAGCAACCCCTACATGTTAGGAACCACGCAAATCCTAATAATGAAAAGATGGGGTTCAATACTTTAAGCTCGAGGTAGTGTGCAAGGGGGAATCAAATGTTTTAGGTGAATCAAATGCTTTAGGTATGGATGAGTGGCTTGGATAAAAGCCTCTTACGTGCCATTGATCTAATGCATGAAGGATCAAGATCAAATCCACCTTTATGTTCTAAGTATAAAAGTAACTTATGTGATCAATTATAACCCAAACTTATGTATTCACTTCAAGGAGAGAGAGAGCCCCCTTAACAAAAACGTGGCCACCCATGCGACTATCTTCTTCCTTGAACTATTATTTGAAACCCTTCTTTGGAGTAGTCCCTCATGTATGTGATCAAGCACATACTATTGCTTCATTAAGGTATAAATTTTTCTTCTTATATTTCAATTCCTACCTCATTTCCATTATCAAAACTTGTTGTAATTCTTAATTTATGGTAGTTTTCTTCATTTTTGGTCATGAAAACTTGATATTTGAAGAGTCCCAAAGCAATAGTGTAGTCCATACACATAGTATATGTAGACAAACTTGGTTACTCCATGATCTTGTATAGTTTCACCTTGATTTTCTTGATCGTATTTTTTTGGAATTTTTATTGAGAATATACAACTGATGAGATGTTTATTTCATCATATTTGAGCATATGAAATAGTCCCTTTAATTATTTTTTGAATGTTGAAAAGTTCGTGTTGTTCCTTATGGACCACATGGTGTAGTTTTACTATTACTTCCTTAGTTTTTGTAGTCTCTCTGTCAAACTTTGAATGACTGTTTTGGTATGTCTCCCTCATGATTAGATCCCTATTAAGTGAAATAAAAGTGATCATTTGCTTCCCATTGGATTGATCTCCTTGAGTTATTATTATCATCCGTGCCTTAGACAATGGGACAAAATTAAGTCCTCGAAAGGCCCTTTCGTGGCCCGAGCACAAGGTGTTCAAACCATGGCTTCCCCCATGTATGTTTGCATGTTAATTTGATGTATTTACAATTATTGAGTGATTCTTGATTGATTAATATTGAGATTGTTCTTATAGTCATGTAGTATGTGCTTTAATGCGATGTTATATTGTTTATGTAAATTGAAATCTCATTGGATCGTCATGATCAAGTGTATAATGTATATGAAACATTGTGATATATGGTGAGAATGAATAATGAAGATGTAATATGTCTAGAGATGTACATTGTGAGTATTTGGACATTGTATTGAGTTTAATTGTATGTTTGAGTAAGGGATTTGTAAGGGACCTATTAGGGTTGAATTTTTATTATTCAAATGTGTATAAACGATGTTTGTAGGTTGGAATATATGTATTATGGTTATGTATTGAGATATTCATGCATTTAAACCTTTCAAGTTTTAATACAATAACTTTTTTTTTTATTTTAAAGATTGCGTTTCTAGCCCACTGGTCTTATACCACCAATAGAGATGTGGGCATAGATCGAATGAGTAAACAAGAAGATGAAATGAAGTACACACATGGAAGGTGAAGCTCAATTTGAAGAAGTTCCTGAGTCCATTGATATCGAAGAGGAAGAACTTGAAGGCGACATGTTTGGTGAAACACGTGTCACTGATGATCTATGCTTGCATCGTATCTTCGAACTTGTGGCCAACTGGAAAAAAACTTTGGAAAAATATCATTGACCGCGGGAGTAGCGAAAATCTGGTTGCTCAAGAGATGGTGGACAAGTTGAAGTTCAAAACCTGATGCAACCACAACCTTACCGCATTCTTTGATTCAACAAGGGGGAGCGAGGTAATTGTGTCTTTAGAATGCCTTGTCAATTTGTCAATTGGGATTTCATTTGAAGAATTGGTGTGCTACGACAAGGTCCCATGGACACTTACCGCATCTTTTTAAGTCATCCTGGGCAATATGATTGGAAAAATGTTTGTCTTGATGACAAGAAAACCTATGCATTCTTCTAAAGTAATGAGAAAATTATTCTAAGGCCAATGAAGGATGGTGCCTTTCTGAAGATGGAGTGTGGAGCTTCATTTGCTCTCTTTAATCTACATGATGTTGCAGACAAAGTTGAAAAGAGTGGTGATGTAGAGAACTTGAAGAAATAGTAGAAAATTAGCAAGAAAGCATCCTGACGCATGCAATTTTGAAGAAACCTTAAGGCTTTCTCCCACCTAGGGCTCAAGCCTTGTGCTTCTTTACCCAAGACAAAGTATTTTCTTTTCTTCAAAGAGGAATACGTGAATGCCTCTCTAGCCCATCCACGACTTTATTTGTATTTAAAAATTTATTGTTTTGGAAAATATTTGTCTATACAATTAACTTTTGAGTTTTGACCAAAAGGTCCTAACTTACGTATCACTTGAAACTAAACTCCTTGAGTTAAAAATATCTGAAAAGTCCCTAACTGGTCCAACAATGAAATAAATATAAAAAACATTTGAAATAACCTCAAACTTAAAAAAAAAACAAACATTCAAACTTTTTTTTGTTCTTTTCTTCGTCTTGGAAGCCTTCCTTGGGTTTTGATCCTACAAATATGAGTGAAAATTAAGAGGAATTTGTCGCTCCCAAAGAAGATACGTGTGGCTACTTGTTGTGCTTTGATCACCATCATCATTCTCCCCAGGTTAAGAAGAACTCACCCTCGCGTTCACATCATTGTGCACCTCTAGACCACGATACTCTGACCAATCAACAATGTTGAAGATATTCGAAGTCTCCATATGCAAAGTCAAAGCCACTTTGTAAGTGTCGTTGCCCATTTTCCTCAAAATCTTAAACAGTTCTGCCTTGCGATTATTCAGCTGTTTTACTTTCCCAGTGGATGCCGCTCCTTCTTGAGATACACCATTACCCAGTCTCACACATTAAACTCCTTGAAACAACGATGCTTGTCTACTGCTACCTTGCATTTAGCTGTATTGGCTTCTAGATTAGCATGCACTCCCTCATGCACTCCTTTCATTTGTCTACCAACTCCTCAACAATAGCATGACCCTCATCGGCCTGGATAAGAACCAAATCTATCGAATGAGTAGGGTTTGTCCCAAATACCACCTCGAACGGACTCTTAGCAGTAGATCTATTGCAACCACTATTATAGGAAAACTCGGCTTGAGACAGTGCTAGGTCGTACTGTTTCTTCCTTTTCCTTACAATACTTCTTAAAAGAATGCCAAGAGCATGGTTTACCACTCCAGTCTTGCCACTTGTCTGCTGATGATATGCCCTACTAAATTCTAGCCTAGTACCCAATTTCTTCCACAAAGTTCCCCAAAAATGGCTGAGAAACTTTGTATCCCGATCTGAAGTTATTGTTTTTGGAACACCATTCAACCTCACCACCTCTTTGAAGTACAAGTTAGCAACATGTGTGGCATCCAGAGTCTTCTTGCAAGGTATAAAATGAGCCATCTTTGAGAATCTATCCGCCACCACAAATATAAAATATATACATATTTGAGTCCATAGAAGTTCCAGCATGAAATTCATGTGAACATCCTCCCATGGTGCATTAGGAATAGGAAGTGGAGATTAAAGCCCGGTATTCTGTCGTTGCCCCTTAGCCCCTTGACACGTACAACACCTCTCAACAAACCATACAACATCCCTCTTCAATTTTGACCAGCAGTACTTGGACTCCACGAATACTATCGTTTTGTCTCAACTAAAATGTCCAGCAAGACCTCCCACATGAAGCTCTACTATTAGGGTTTCTCTAAGGGAACCTGCAACAATACAAAGACGGTTTCCTTTGAAGAGATATCCATCTTCAATAAGAAAATCCCTCATGACCCCACTGGAACAATGGTCGCATATCTCCTTGGAAGTCGTCATCATCTGTATAAATATCCTTCATAAACTCAAACCTAGTAATAGTAGTAGGCATGGTAGTTAATAGAGTCAACCTTCTACTCTAAGCATATGCCACTTTGTTCTGATTGCTTGTCTCATGTCAAATAATAAAAGTGAACTCCTGCAAATAGGCTACCTAGTATTCTTATTCTTGTAAGTTGTTTTTGTGTTAGGAGGGATTCAAAACTATTTAGACATTTGGATATTTAGTTTTGTGAAAAGGGTTATATTTGATACTGATTTGGACATTTTGGGATTTAGTTTGTGTGAAGGGTAATATATGGTATTTGGCAATATTTTAACTTAAAAAGTTTAGATTTAAGGGTTGATATTTGACTAAATGGATGGATAGGATTTCGTAGGAATTTTTAGTGTTTTCTTTTGGGTGTTTTAAATGCAAGTTCTAAGGGAGAAAAGAAGGGCTTTTGGTTTTAAAAGGTTACTTTGAGAACAAGGCTTTGCTCTAGCTATGGTTTGAGAGATTGGAAGTGAGGACATTGATGCTTGAAGCTATGGATCACCGTAACCACCTTGTCGCAGTGAGTTGGCACATGAGGAGTAGTCTTTTCCTTTGATTCAACTGCTGTTCTCCTTTTTCCAGCAAGGATTTGGAGGTATTGATGTAATTTTAAGTTGAAAATTGAAAGATCTTTTTATTTCTCGACGTTGCTAAGTACACATACGGCTAGTTCTTGCATGTTTTCTTGCTCTTGCCTTTTCGCATCCAAACCATTCAGATGGGTCGCTATCATTCTGTTGCAGTATTACTTTATTTCTAAGGCACCTATTTGTTGGCACTCTGCTGGTTGTGTAAAAACAGAATCTGCTTTTTTAGGTTGGTTAGCCTTCCTAACGTTGTGAAGAGTTATTCGTCCAATATGCAGTCGAGTTGCACTAGGTGTCTGGATTATCTCCACTAATCTGTACAATTGTTCAAGGACTCGGTTGAGTCCAACTAGGACAAGCCGGAGTTACTTTGACTAGGCAGGCTGTCGAGTCTTGAAGAAAACCTTTGGATCCAGCCAAAGGGCTCAGAAGGTCCTTTGGATAAATGTTTTTGGGACTCTACTTGGCTTAGGACCCTAACGAGTCCTAAACCAAATCCATGCTTTAAAACACTGGTCTATGCTAGTGTTTAAAATCACGGAGCTGTGCACTGATCTGGGCAGGGCCTGCTTTTGCCTGAGACTACCAAACTCGGCCAAGTTTCTACAAGAACCGACTGAGAAAGGAGGGTCCAGAAAAAGATAACACTCGGGTAAATCCCAAGATATTGGCTCGGACTTGCTAGGCTCCTCAGCCGAGCCGACTCAGACGCATCCAATTGACTTGACAAGTTTTTAAACACTGACCAGTACCTCTATAGTCTCATAAAACCCCACCTCTAATCAAGTTAAGGAGTAGTTTGGAGAATCTTAGTTATTTTGTCTTAGCATTGGGGTTCTGCTTTAGCAAATCAATTGCTATGCACTACATAAATGAATATTTGACATACTAGTAACTAGCATTGCAACCTCTGAAAACTGGGTCTTCATGGTTTATTTCATAACAATAGTGTAGCCTGAAAAAGTATCTCACAGCAGTAGTGATATCTCACTGAATGTTATGTGGACATCTTTTTTTTTCTGCCATCCTAGTTAGTCATCTGTATTTATTTATATTTTTATATTTGCGGCGATTATTATATACTTCATTGTTCAATTTACTTTTATTGCTTTTTTTGAAAGCATGTCCACACGACCTGATATTTACTTCCGAAACTCTGGAATAAGTTACCATTTATATTGTATCTTTTGTTTATGTCAGTTTTTGTGTCACATAATGGAAATTTCTAATGTGTTGCCTTATTGTCAGGTTTGCAGCATTGTGCAATCCCTGGGTTTGCACTTTTCCTCAATTGTAAATGAGGCACTAATTGGTTTGGTGAATGGTTTTACACTGCAAAAATCAGATGGAGGGGACATGGAGAGATATGAATCAGCTTCTGGACAGACTTGTGATGCTAGCTGGATTTCAGGACGTGAACCACATGCTTCCAGTAAGGTTTTCCAATATTCTGCTACAGTACAGTTCAATCTTGTTACTCTGCATGTTAACCTTGAAGATGAGGATGCAGAAAACAATTTGATCATGGCTTGCAGTTTGGAAGACTTAGATTTTCAGTATGTAGTAAAGAGCATTTGGATCGTACATTTGATTTGTATTATTTTGGCTGTCCTTTCAAGTATTCTTCTTGAATCTGTTCTCTAACTCTGCATTTGGTTTCAGGTGTTCACTTGAGGAATTTGTTGAAGAGTACAGGATTTCTATAAGGATGCTAAGTGCTAAAGTAATTAATACAAAAGGGGAATCTGTCAATTCTATAATATGCACAAACAAGATCAATTCTGCTTCATTTGTTGAACTGCAGGGTGCAGAGGAAGTTGATTGTGGTTTTGTGAAGGAAAGAAACAGTGAAGCACTACTATGTGCTCCGGCTGAGGCATGTTTTGTTTTACAATATCAAGCAGGAAGTAATGTGAACAATTTCGTCCACAAAATTACATTGGGAATAAATGATATTGATTTTCATTGCCATCCTAGAATTGTCGCATTGCTGCTCATGAATTATGAGAGATTGTGCCATCAGTGTATCCCATCTTCTTCTTGCGACTCTGTTGCAACCTGCTTGGTGGAGGAAAAGGAAATTTTACATCCTAGATCTATGTCTGGAATTGCTCATAAGAAATTTGGCTTTTCAAATTTTTGCATAACAGATTCTCACGAATCAGCGCCTATACCTTTGGATCAGTTTCCATTTGTTACAATTCACAACTCTGGTTCTCTTGACAGCTTAGAGGAGTCGCTTATTTTTGGGGTCTCTGAGTGGAGAAAGTTATTTCCTGTTAAGAATAGGCAATCCACTTCTGCTAGACATGAGAAATTAGCTACATGGAGGACATCATGGTTGGTAAACAATTCAAGGATGAGAAGAAGGTGCAGTGTTGTTTCCAATGGGAACTCAGGCAGTTTCAATGAATTTGTTCAATTTGTTGTTGATTTGGATCTATATGGTGTCAAACTCCATTTTCATGATTTATCCTGCATTATGGCATCCCTTGGTATACCTGCTTTGAGATCATCTCTTTATATTCGTCAAGTTGACTGTTGGGATATAATAAGCTCATTTAATGGTTTGAATCTTACTTCTTCGTGGTTTATGCCCGATAAATGTGAATTGCTTTGGGGGCCTTCATTACCATATATCGCTCCTGTACTGAATGTTCGTATACGAAAGGGAATGCATTCAATGGCATCTTCTCAAATAGAAATAAGTTTAGGGATTCAGCATATAAACTGTACATTGCCATCGGATTTTCTGGCTGTTGTTATTGGTTACTTCTCATCATCTGATTGGAAGCCCAGTATGAAGAAGCAGTTTCCTAACATGGAAGATGATAAGACTACTAACTTTGGAAAAGAATCATGTTGTTTTTTGTATAAGTTCGAAGTTCTTGATTCGTCACTGAGCTTGCCATTGGGGAGCAACAGCCATCAGTTTATTGAAATTGGAATTCAACAGCTTTATTGTAGTTTTGTTCCAAAGGGGCTTGCATTAGAAGCACTTAAGAGAGTTCCCTCTGAATGTGCCATTTCAATAAATGAAGCTTCCGAGGTTGCTCATCTTCTCAACATTTTTGGAAGAGGTGTATCTGTTTCATTTAGTTTGTTAAATGGCATTGGACAACACTCACAGCGACTTGATCAAGATCAAGATATTAAAATTATGCCGCTTGTTGAAGCACTTCATGCCGATATGTGGATTAGAATACCATGCGAAAGTGAGTGTTTTGGCGAATTATCTACTGTTCCTACATGCATTATGGTGATGGTGGAAACGTGTCAGTTGATTGCTACAGGTATGATGTTTCCAATTCTTGGGGATTGATAGCTTGGTACGAGTATCCCTCTTTAATTCATTTGTTTTTACATAGAACTTACGGTAGCATTTGTACTTCAAGCTATTTTTGCTCTCCTGTTTTGTTTCTGCTTTTCTCATGCACCACCTGCATATGCAGAGGAATACTTCTTATGTGGCCTTGAAGCTGCTATGGCTGTGATAGATGAGATGTCATCTGTTGGTATGCTTTCTAAATTATTTACATCAGATGTCCTGCGGTTCATGCAGTTGAAGAACGTTAGGCATACCAATGCAACGGTGCAAGATGGTTCATCTGTGGGCTATACGAAAGTTAGAATTTGCATGAACACAATGTCTGTGAGGCTACAACAGTTGAAGGATAAGCATCTTCTCTATTCCAAAGTCGTTGCTCAAGCAGAAACACGCCTAACAGTTTCTGCCATGTTCAGAAATGGTATACCCATTGGCTTAGATATGAAATTTATCAACTTGGTCCTTTATTCAATGTGCAGCAATGATGTATTGTTTAGTTTCGCATCTGTGGATTCAGTGAGTGCTAGTCCTGAAATCCACTTCTCCAAATCAGATAAAGATGAAGATGAGTTATTCATTGTGATCCCCTCTGTTGATGTTTGGCTGCTTTTAGAAGCATGGGACGAGGTTTTTGAATTTATTAGCTCTTGTACAAGGTTAAATAGGCCATCAGAAACAATTATGTCATCTGAAAGTCTGAATATAGAACCTCTGGATGAAAGAAAGTGCTCAGGCATGAGTCAGTCACAAACAAAGGGAGTAGGATCTGATAATCAGCCACGGTTAAGTGTTCATTCTGCTGAAGACGGTATGCATCCATCTGGTGCGTTTACTGTGAACGTGGAAAATAATTGCATCTTCTTGCATTTCCCAATCCATGCTATGAATGATCCTGTCGATTCACATAGATGTGCCAAAAATGAACACGATATGCACCAGGGCTTTACTTACGTAGTTTCGGAGAGAAAACAAGGCTTCATTTCATGTGGACCAGGACTTTGTAAATCTATGACATTATCTCTTTACNGCTGTCATAGTGAAATTGTACTTAGTGGTAATCATATGAAACTTAAACTTAAGTGTGAGAAGGCAGAAGGGAATCTTGAGATGATAGGTGCCGAGTCAATTCACTCTTTACCATTCTCCCGTCTTTTTAATGTAAATTTGACTATGGAAATTTCCAAAACGCTGCAAGATTTAATGCAAGTCTTCACTGTGATCCAAACTGATACGTTGGACTTGTGGATTTCATATCAAATACTCAACTTCTTTCATGGCATTGGGCTTAGATTACCCAGCAAGTCCTCCTTTCAAGCTCCACAATTTACTATGGCCATCAAAGTTATTTTAAGAAAGGGTTCTTTCCTGCTAAGTGATGGGAGGGTATGCTATATTCCTCGACTCTCTTGCAATACTTTCTGCATTGGTCTTGTTAGTGTTTGATTACTGATAATTGACTTGCTATGGATCTCGGAAAACCTTTGATTGGATTTTTCACTTTCTGTTGTGCTAGTTTGCCACTTCATTTACTTTTTCTGTACAGTGGAACTGTAATCTACCCATCATGGAAATCTTCTTGAAGAATATACTTGTGGACAGTAATCAAATAGAGGATAGGGTGGAGACATTACTCACTGGAGACCTTCAAGTGAACTACAACAACATTCAGAAGGTGCCTTTTTCATTGCCATACAACTTGCAATGTTGTTGTTATGTTTTCGCAAATAACATATTCTGAGAGAAATAATTGCAGGTCATGTGGGAGCCTTTCCTAGAGCCTTGGAGTCTAAACTTAAAGTTGATTAAGGCTTGTGAACAGAGTGCCCTTTTAAACAGAGATGTTGGAACGGACATACATTTATTGTCATCTACAAAGCTTAATGTGAATATAACTGAAGCACTGCTTGAGGTATAAGATGGACATTTGCAATTTATCGTTATTCTGTGATTGGCTTAGATTTAAGTTAGGTTTGAATATATGCACAATTTTATATAGAGTCGAGGCTCTAAACAATCAAATTAGAGCGCATCTCAAAATTCATTTGAAGAAGTTGGTTTGATGCCCAAATATCATCAAATTGATCATCTCAACATCAAGATGCATGGACATGAGAAATACATGGATTTCAAGTTTTGGAAATGGTGCATCTTGTAATTCATTTTTGGACCATCAATTTTCAAGATTTTCAAGTTTTTATAGATCGGCTCGATCTACACTATTTTTTAAGCTTAAAATTTTTTAATTAGAGATGAAAATATATTTTTAGGCTATCACGAAGATTTCCAGTACTGAAACTACATTTCTTGACATTATTTGAAGGTGCACTTTATTTTGATTGTTTAGAGCCTTGGCTGTATACAAACCGCACCCTTGAATATATTGTCTTGGTTTTCAAGAGTTGACATATCTATAAAGTTATACAATCAAACTAATTTTAAAATATGTTTTAGTTGCAGATGTGGTTTAGTATTATTGTTTTATTTGGGCCCTAATGAGTTCTCTATAGTTTTATCAATGAGTCCTGTATGTTACGTTTTTGTTGCTATCCTTCATAGGCTTGTTTGAGGGGAAGTGAGATAATTAAAGACGCTTTCTGCCTACTCAGAGAAAATGGGAAATCTGAAAGTAGTGAGATAGACAACAGCAGGACCACAGTGTCTATAAATGGAGATCGCTACGCGCCTTATATTCTTCAGAATGACACATCTTTGCCCTTGTCATTTTGGGTATTGGGTCTTGCCAATGCCGAGGATGTTAGCATTTCTGACACAAGAGTAAATATTGTTGAGCCAGGCTCTTCAGTTCCATTGTATATTGATGAAACTCCAGAAGATCAATTTTTCCGCCACAAGCCAAGCCATTCCTCTGAAAAGCTTAATGGGAATAAATTAGACGGAGTGCAGCATCATATGATCTGTGTCCAACTTGAGGGAACTTCTCGAGCATCTATACCTATGTCAATGGACCTTGTAGGTCTTCGCTATTTCGAGGTAGATTTCTCGAAATTCCCTGATATCACAGATACAGATAAGAATGGGGACCCTTACATGTACAGTAAGCAAACCGAAGACAATATTAAAGCAGATTCTGGTGTTGCTTTTGTTGTACCTGTTGTATTTGAAGTCTCCATTCAACGTTACAGCAAGTTAATAAGACTGTATTCAACTGTAAGTATGTTTGTGTTTTTTCCTTTTGGTATTTACTTGTCTTTGACAACCCTTTGGTGTGTCTTATGAATCTTATGACTTCAGGTTGTTCTTTTAAATGCAACTTCTGTGCCATTAGAACTTCGTTTTGACATACCATTTGGAATATCCCCTAAGGTATGTTCTTTCCATAAGTTTCATAATATTCCCTTGTGGAATCGCCTAATTTTGTTATGATTTCAGGTATTAGATCCAATTTTACCTGGCCAGGAGTTGCCACTTCCTGTGCATTTGGCTGAAGCTGGTCGCATGAGATGGCGTCCACTTGATAGTAATTACCTCTGGAGTGAAGCGCATCCTCTTGCAAATATCCTTTCACAAGAGAGCAGACTTGGATTTCTGAGATCCTTCGTTTGTTATCCTTCTCATCCTAGCAATGATCCATTTCGCTGTTCCATCTCAGTTCAAGATATACCCCTCACTCTTTACAACGGTACAAAGCGGAGTTCAATCCCCCGTCGTAGTCAAAAAAATTTCAAATGTTTGAATGAAAGGTCGGATCAAAGGATTCATAGTGCTAACGAGTCAAAGAAGCGATTTATTCGTCAAGTGAGGCTGACTACACCTTTAATTCTCGAAAACTGTCTTCCAATGCCATTACATGCAACAATAGAAAGCAGTGGTGGAGTTGTCTCATCTGTGCATATTTTAGAGGTTTGTATTGTGCTTAAAATGCTACATGATGACTGTTTGTCCATATATGTACTGAATGTTTACCTGTGCATGAATGTTAGATGTAACTTTTGTGGTACCATTCTGTTTTGTATAGGTGGACACTGCATCTTTGTTCCATATCGATTCCACGCATGACTTGGGGATTACCTTCCATCTATCTGGATTTGGGCCATCCCTTTCAAAGTTCCTTCGAGCAGAAACTTTTACGGCCATGGGCAAAACAAATGCTTCCAAATTCCCAGCATATGAAACATTACGTTTTCACCCAGATGAGACAAATGGTATCTCACCATTTTCTCAAGCTTTTCAGATTTGCTATGAGTCTTTCTTTGGTTTGACTTTTATAATTATGAATTTACATTGCAGTTACTGATAGATTTGGTTTCTTGGACTAGGAGATCCCCCGATATGCTTGATATTGGAAAAAACAATGGATGCATTTTCCGGTGCTCGCAGAATTAGCATCTCGGTTCCATTTTGGCTCTACAACTGCACTGGTTTGAATCTTACTCTTGCTGATGGTGACAATGAAAACAAGGGGCATGAGTACTTTATACCTTCAAGTTATTCCCTAGTCAGTGATGAACAATTTCTGGCTGGAAAAGTTGGTTTGTCAATTGTTTCTGCAGAGGTGTCAGCTGCATCCCAGCGCACTGGCAACTTTAGAAATATATACCCAAAAAAATCCAGTATGCCTTGTAAAGCAAGATACCTTGTCCATTTGGCGCATGGTTGTGGACATCTTGGCATGCATGATACAGTTTCTCAGCAAGCTTCTTTTCCTAACATCCAGAACAAGCAGAGAAATCCAGCTCGGAGGTCGGAGAATAATTTCATTGTAGATGATGATAGCCGCAAGCTTAGGGCGTGCATGTATTCTCCTGTAGGGGGCTTTCCTTCTAGTGAATTAATGGTTAGACTGAGTGCTTGTGTGCCAGATTGCTTTAACTCAAGTTCACGAAATATTTTGTGGTCCAATCCATTTTCCCTTGTTCCTGCAAATGGGTCAAATAGTCTGGTTATTCCTCAACCAGGTAAAAGTGGAGCTTTTATTCTGTCTGTAGCATCCATGCCTTTTTCTGGAGTACTTAATGGGAGAACTAGAGCTATCATTTTTCAACCCAGGTGACAATGCTGAACTGGACCTTTTGTTTTTGGTTTTCCTCTCTGTTGTAGAAATGTGATAGTTTTGACTATATATATACTGATTCATAGAAAAATAAAATTTTAACGGTAGTGCTAACTGAACAGTGTATGTTCATTTTTATCATGAAAATGCACTGGGTTTCTACCTGTAGGATAGTGATTTGGAGCTCTTAATCTTGCACTCTCAAGTCACCAGCATGAATCCCACTCTTAGACTTGCCAAAAGAACAGAAAATTGAAATGCATCATATTTACTTGTTTAGAGTCAGTTTTCATTCTTTTGATGTCATTTATATACTCACAATAAAAGTTTGAAGAGAGCAGCATCCAAGGGCAGAAACAACCTTTCCTCGAGGCGCTATGGTTATGTACAGGCTTTGCAATTCATATTCTCTCAGTCAACAACTTTTCAAATATGATTTTTAGTTATGTAGTCAAATGTTATTGTGATTTCAAAGTTAACGAATGCTTTTTGTTTCAATGAATTCATGATTGGAAAGAAGCATGTTAAATGGTTTCTTCTGTTTGGGTATTGTACCTTTGTTAGACATATCGACATGCATACCTGCATCGATTCTTCAGGATTCTTTCTCGTTGATTAACCATTGATGACATCATTTTAGAGATTTGATCTTCCTGTTTGTTCTGAGTGGATACAAGTGAACTTTGAAAATGACTTTGTAACTTTAGGAAAATCAATGAATTCAACCATAATAGGAACTTTAAGAAAATCAATGAATTCAACCGATTAGGGCATAATTGATTATTTCTTGCTACTCATAATGAAATGGAATGTTATTAAAACATTATTGGGTTTGGTTGTCTCTTCATAATATGGCCTTGTTGCTGAATGCTCTTCATGGCATAAGGGTCTAATACACCATACCCATGTCAGACAGTAACACACATACCTGTGTCCATTTGACATAGGAAAGAAAGAATAGCTGTCAGAGCTAATTTTTAGAAGTACCTTTTGTGACTGATATATGGAACCTCTGTGCTCCTTACCTTCATGTTGTCCACAAGCGTGCATGCAGCAGCACATTTAGGCGAAGTAGTTACTAACATAACTTTCCGTCAGTTTCTCGTGTTGGATCTCTTCAAGGTTCTATCCACTCATGTGATGAATAGATAACTTGTGTATGTTTATGCACAAGGAAGAACTAAAGGAAGTCCTCTGGTCCATGATCTCCACCATGTGATTCAGAGATTCTTGACAATGGGGCTGTTGATGTAAAATAAACCACAGAGAGGAATACAAGCAACCGTCTGTATTGTTCGAAATAGAAAAGGGGGACTTACAACCCATGCTTAGCTGCCTCTGGTTAAACCAGGAAACCTTAAGCAGAAAATCCCAAGACTGACCTCACCCTTACATCGCGCACTATTTAGCGAACAAATCCTAACCTAAATATAATCTAGAGCGTCCATTACAAACATTAAATCTAGGACATTGACATGAAAGACAGAGATCAAATATTAAACAGTCCTTGATGCGACAAAGTCCAAACTACCCAAACAGTTGATTAAGGTCCCCCAAGAAAGGCCTGGTTCACATGGTCGAGCCATTCAACCTCTCCCACTCTCTCCAAACTTGATCGCTTCCTGTTTAGCTCCAATTGGGATGCTCTATTCCCAGGCTTCCATGCTTCTGCTCTTCCAAAACCTACCTCCGACCATTGTCCCATCATCCTTAAAACCAAACCTGCTCCAGAGGGCCTAAACCCTTTAGGTTAGAGCTTTCTTGGTTAGCAGAACCCAATTTCTCTAACCTGATCCCTCTATGGTGGGACTTTTTCTCCCCCCTTGTTTCCAGTTGGGCTAGTTTCCGATTTCAAAGGAAACTCCAGCTCCTCAAACAGCCGCTCAAGGAATGGAGCAAGCCACTCCTGGGAAATCTTAGCTCCCACAAAGGTGAAATTTTGTAGTCAATATAGACATGGGACTCCATCGAAGAACAAGACCTCTCCTTGTGGATGAGCGAGCTCAGAGAGCCCACTTGAAAGTAGAATACCAAGTCCTTCTAAAGCAAGAGGAAATTCACTGGTATCAGCATTCATGGATTAAATGGTTCAAATAAGGGGGCCTGAATATGACGTTTTTTCCACATAATCACCAATTTTAGAAGTCAGAACAATACTATCTCTTGTATCAAGGTTGCTGAGAGTTTCTTTTGATCCGCCAGCAGAGATGGAAGGAGCAATCTTGGGCTTCTTCAAACACCTTTTCACCTCTCCCACCAACCCCAAGATCTTCAATGGGAAACCTAACCTCCTTTACCCTCCCTCCTGAGATAACCTCCTGGCTCAAACACCCCTCTTCCGAGGACAAGATCCTCAAACCAATTCATGATATAGGCAAGGACTATTCTCTTGGACCTGAAGGATACCCAATGGCCTTTTACAATTCTTTCTGATGCACCCTCTGTCTCAGACAAACTCCTATCTAAGGTCTTCCCCTCTCGCCTCAGAGAAGTCCTAGGCTCAATTATCTCTCCCCAACAAAGTTCCTTTGTCAAGGATCGACAGATCCTTGATGGCGCTTTCATCACCCATGAATGTATCCACGCTAAGCATCTCTCAAAAACCCCTGGACTGGTGATCAAAGTCAATTGAGAACAAGGCCTAAGATCATGTCGAATGGGTCGTCCTTGACGAAACCTTGGCTCACATGAGTTTTAGCCTCTGAAGGGGGAAGGGGATACAAGGTTGTATCTCCCAGCCTTACTTCTCTATCCTTATCAACAGATCTCCCAAAGGTTATTTCCTGTCGATGAGGGGCCTTAGACAGGGCGACCCCCTCTCCGCCTTCCTCTACGCTATTGTGGCTGAAGTTTTTAGTCGATCTCTAAGTTGTCTCTTTCTCTCAGTCTGGCTGCTTTGCTTCTATATATGAAACCATGGGTTGTCCATCACCCACCTTTAATACGTAGACGACACTCTAGTCTTTTGCAAGGCCTCCCCTTAGGAGGTGGACACCCTTCTCCTTTTTTTCAAATGCTTCCAAAGGGTTATAGGGTTTCAGGTTAACATGAGCCAATCAAAGATGATTGGGGTACACCTCTCAACCAAATACTCAGGGCCTGAGCCCCAATTTTAGAAGATCCCCTTTCTGACTTAGAGTTTTAGGAATTCCTTGACCTATTCTCCCTTCTGCATTTCATCTTGCTCCCTCTTAGTGGAGAAGACAAGCCCATATGGTCTCTTGCACCCTCGGGGATTTTCATAGTCTCCTCCTTTACTACAAACTCTTGTTACCACCAACCTTTCCCCATTGGTCCCAATCCAATAATGGGTCAAGCATGGTCTTGCATCGCTCCACCTAAGGTTAAAGTGTTCACCTGGATTGCCATGTCTGAAAGAGCCCTCACAATGGACCAACTTCAAAGAAGAGATCTCCCTATTCCAAACCACTACGCCATGCGCGTGGAAGCTGAGTCCAATGCCCACCTCTTCCTTCAATGCCTCATTGATTTTTCTCTGTGGGGCACCCTCTTGTGCTTATTCCATTGGTAGTGGGTCACCCCTCGCACCATTCCCCTCCTTTTCTCCTCTCTCCAACCCTACCCCTGGGCCACATTAGGCATCCAATTATGGAAGGCCTCAAGAGTGGCCCTCCTTTGGACTATTTGGACGGAGAGGAATCATAGAATCTTTCGTGGGAAAACATCCTCCACAGTTGCCCTCTTCTAGGAGTTTAATGGCTCAATCGATTTTTTGACCTCCAACCATAAGCTCTTCAAGGGAGTCCCTCCTTCAGCATTTCAATTAGATTGGGTGGCTTTGCTCAACCTTACGTACGCTCATATACCTCAAGCCTCTTAGTGGAGATCACTTGAGGTCGGCCATATAAAACTCAATTTTGACAGTTGCTCTGTAGGCAACCTCGGTCGTTTTGGCATTGGTGGCCTCTTCAAGGAGCATCTTGGTACATCACTGGCCTCCTACCCTAAACACTTGGGCCACTCTAATTCCCAAACAGCAGAATCTTCAGCCCTCCTTGTAAGGTCTCAAATTATTCGACCGGTACTGGAGCTCCTCCTTAATTGTTGAAGGTGACTCCAGCAACGTAATATCTTAGGCCTCTAGTCCTTCACCTTGCCCATGGACCCTCGCCCACCTGTTTGACAAAATTTCCCAATTTAGTAGGCGTTTGAACATCGTCTGGTCCCACAGTTGGAGGGAAGGAAACTTAGAGGCTGACACTCTTGCTAAGGCTGGCGCTTCTAACTCTAACGACTGAGGAGTTTTTGCTACCTCAGTCCACCTTATCTCCTTGTTTATGTATACCTTTTTGTATTTACCCCCTAATACATGGATAGCCATTTTTTCCTGTCTAACCGGGAAGTTCCCCTTATGTTGCTCCTCTCTTAATACAAAAGTTAAGTCTTTCACAAAAAAAAAACAAAAAAGTTCGGGATTGATGTTCGTGCCTTTAGAACCATTTTATGCTCCAATACGCCTAGCGAAATCATCAAATTGGATTTACCTTTATAGGGCTTAGGCTGCCGTTTCTGAATGGGATAATTATAGAAAATATGAGCGATTGAGAAGCCAACACCATCTCGAAGTTAGACACCCAGAATCACTTGCATCAGTCTCCCATGGTTGCCTGCGAGTTTTGTTCATTTGAGAACGTCCATCAGTCTGCCATTGTTGGCCACGTTTTGCTCGTTTGAGAACCTCCTTAATGCCTTCTCATCAATTCTCCTCAAGTCTCCGAGATCCATAAGTTCTTCATGTGAGGTTTATCCTTTCGCTGGACTAGGTACTGGTTATAGGATCCATGCCAATTGGTGATGATCCTAATGCGCAAAACCTTATAAACAACCTTGGCAGCTTGCTTAGGCAACTGAGCCTTCCACTCTGCTTCCCCTGCTAGTCATAAAGTTGGGCAACATTGAAGATAGGGGTTATGCTATACCCCTCTGGTACCTTGACCTTTTAGCATTGTTACCTATCTTATGTAGCACTGGACAG